TCAAATTATCGAGTTTAGGTGATGAAAATTTATCGGCATTTAATACTGGACCTGTGTGACCATGCAATAATAATGGATATTATTTCTTTTGCAACGGAAAATGTGCAATTTCAAAGGGGAAGAAGCTGTTTTCGTTGACCTGACACAACTTTATAATATACGGCATACGCGAGCAACTGAAGGTTAGCAAACAGTATTGAATATAGTATTTTTAAAGTGTATATCCTCAGATACCTTCTATCAGTATACCTTCCTCAGTATTTTTAAAGTGTATATCCTCAGATTTTTTTGGAAATTTAGCAGTGTAAAACTCTTTAAAAGCGACATAACTTATATATAAACAAAGGCGATAACATTTATATCAGATATAAATGATGACGACTTTAATTATAATGATATGCAACTTGAAAACCGAGAAAGCAAGACAAAACACGAAGCAAAAACAAAAAAAAACTTATTTAGCTATATCGTAAATTTAGTAATTTAGGAAACATATAATTTTACTTACCGTATCCTTAATTTGTGAAGGTTTACAGCAGGACTTTTGCTTTGTTGCATTTCCAAGGGAAACTATATTATTTACGAAACACAACTTCGTTATACAAATGTTTGCAATTGGTTTTTTAAATATTTTATTCAGAAAAAAAACATAGTAACACTTACTGAAACTTTGCCTTTATTGCTCTTTCTCGTCACATTGTTAATCAACCTTCAATTTCTCAAAAAATCCAGCCGGAATTGCAAACTTTTGAACAAGTAACAAATAAATTCTCGCGCGACAAATAAATAAAATTAGCGTAAAATCATTTTATTTCTCTTTGTTTTTATCTATATAGCTCTTGAAAAATCATAAAAATCCCCCCCTGAGTTGAAATTTGCTCTGTTTGACGTAAATTTTAAAAGCCAATGAAATAATGCATTCGTGATTCAAACCGAAAGCCGGTATCAGGCAACTTGCATCCCGCATAGTCACAGCGAAAAATTCAACAAATATGTAAAAAATATGCCGATTTTTCGACACTTCCAGTGTCCTTTTCGACAAAAAAGTGGCTAGTAGTTTAGTAAAGGTATCTTAGTTTACTTCTATGTATTTTTTTGTGTTCTTTGCTGTGTAGTTTTAAAGTTTTTTTACTATTTCTCCGAAGGTACGTGTTGGCTTTGAAATTAAGTTGCCAACCTTATTAATATATAATACAGTAATTAGTACAGACAGTAATAGCTGACCGCGCGCGTAAACAATGCAGTCGAAGACTGAGTACAAACTGATTTCTGGGCTGCCTATGCCCTGAGAAGCCGCGGAACAACAAAAAACGTCATATCCGCTTATACTAACAACGGAAGTCGTAGTTCCGTCTCAAAAGTTAGATTACAAATACCGATGATTGATTGAAGACATGGTTACCAATATCAAAATATTACATAAATGTTGCCTGTGACTTACCCTTTGCAACCACTGAACCTGGTCCCAAGCCCAGGATGAGAAACTGGTGAGGGGAAGGAATATAGCAATGTTCACGACAAAAGTGACAGCAATAGAGATAGCAAGCTATGCTTTCATATGGAACAGGTATGAGCAACTACGACTTGCGGCTCTGGTTCAGTGGTTGCAAAGGGTAAGTCACAGGGAATATTTATGTAATATTTTGATATTGGTAACCCTGTCTTCAATGAATCATTGGTAAACTGCGATTCTTCAAGTAGATATCTCGAACATATACTGGGCCTGCGAAATCCACTCCAATTCGACTGTACGCCCTCTCATCCGAGACTCGGAACTCAGGTAAATCCGGTGGCACAACACTGTTGTAACGTTGACCTTCGATTCGTTTACACGTAACACACTTGGAGATTACTTTATTGACGACTTAACGGCCTTGTGTAATCCAGAACCGTGCACGAATTTCTGTCAGAGTGTCCCTTGCTCCATTGTGCATAACCTTTATATGACTATCCCAAATAACCAATTTGGTGAATGGATCTTCCTTCGCGAGAAGAGCTGGGAACTTCGTTTCGTATATGGACAGGGAGGCGTTACCTATTCTTCCGTGACACCTCAGAATTCCGCTTTCATCTTCGACTAGACCCAACGAGTTTCGTAACTGTCCGTATCTCTTGTCTTCGCGAACGAAATTTTGCGAGTTCTTGATCCACAACGCTTCTGAACGATTTATTTCTTCAATGCTTGGTTCAACGCATTCTCTCATACGACCAGAACTACGTACGAACCCGCGAGATAACAGGTCTGCTAGATTGTTTTCCGATGGAACATGTCGCCACATTTCCGGGGATGTTAATGTTCGGATTTCTACAACTCGATTATGGACAAATGTTTTAAATTCTTTCTCTGGCTGGGTAATCCACCATAATGCTAATTCCGAGTCCAATCAACAGACACATCTGGTGATCGAGAACCTTTCGCACAAGGCGTCCTGAACGCTTGATATTAATCGGGCGAGAAAAACCGCGGAGATTAGATCTAATCTTGGAATAGTACAACCGGCGATAGGTGCAATTTTTGCCTTAGATGCCACTAATGTGGAGACTACCGATTCACTAGACTCGGCTCTAATATACACGACCGCCCCGTATGCTTTTCCTGACGCATCTCCAAACCCGTGCAGCTCAACGCAAGACTGTTCGAGAGTGTGATTGTTCAACTTAGATAAATACCATCTGCTTATCGGTATAGCAGAGACTTCTTTCATATTCTTCAGAATGGATCGCCATTCTTCGATTATCTCCTTGTCGACAGGGACGTCCGAGTCAACACTTTTCTTGCATAACCGCTGGAACAAAATTTTCAGGACAATGAAGATTGGTGAAAGGACACCAAGTGGGTCGAATATCTTGGCGATAGTGCTGAGAATAACTCTTTTCGTAATGATCTTTTCTTCTAGATATGTTGCCAAAATTTCAAACATGAAAACAAGTTTGTCTTTTCGATTGTCCCAAGGTATGCCAAGAACTTTGGGAAGATGTTGGAAGCAAGTACTTGATTGAAACTGAGACTTCGAAAATGATTGATCCTCTGACTGAATTGCAGGGTGTTGCGTTGACACTTTGGGAATGATTTCAGAATTTATCTTCTTCTGTAGCTGTTGATCGTTTGTGCTCCACTTTCGCATGTTCAATCCCCCTTCTCTAAATCTTGCACTTAACTTTACGTAAATTTCATACGTGGAACTGCTGTCGGGTTTTGACAAGGCTAGATCATCAACATATAGTGATCGTAGGACTTCTTCCACGAAGCTTGAGTCAACAGTTCGATAAGAGTTCGAATGTCATCAGTACTATGAATGTCATCCACCCAAAGAAATCGTAAGAAATCACAATGACTTTCTGACACAGCAACGTTGAGGAATGCTTTCTCTATGTCTGCAGTAAGCGCTATATGGTTAGCGCGAAATCTGAGTAGGACATCAAATATCAATGGAGTGAGTGGTGGTCCAGCGTAAAGACGGTCATTGAGACTCGGCCCGTTTCTTTTACATGACGCGTCGAAAGCACGCGGATTTTTGTCGTGCTTTTATCTATAGTCGAACCACTTCATGATGAGGGAGATAGTGAACCTTGCCAACTTCCGGTGCGGATTCTTCTTTCACCACTTCAATGATAATGTTATCAAGCTGCTCGCGAAATATTTCATCGTAATGTTCCAGTATTTCAGGTTTAGATTTTAATCGACGAAGGAGGGACGCCAATCTTGATTTGCTGACTTGATAATTGTCGGGTAAAACTTCACGCTTTTCCTTAAAGGGTAGACTTACTTCGTATCTCTTTCCGTTGAACTGAACATTTTCACGAAACTTCTCATGGACTGTTTCTTCGTTTGGCAGAATCCCAAGAGATTGTAGGTTCCAAAATTGTTTAATTTTTGAATCGAGTGACTTTTCTTCAACCACTTTTGATGATATGTTCAGGACATGGGTCTCAGTGAGATTGACGGTGGATTCTCGGTGGTCAGAAACTGGGACAACAACAGGACCAGACAACACGTAGCCAAGCTTAGTTGAAATGGCTACTGGACCATGACTACTATCACGAACGACCTCACCAGTTACCAATAGTGCCAATAAAAATCAGCCCCAATAAGAATATCTACAGCAAGCTCGGCGGAATTCTGCGTACTGTCCGCTAACTCTAGTCCGTGTAAGTGAGGATAGGTTCTTTGTGTGAATTGAATGATCTGGTTGCTAATTGGAGCGCATATTGTGGGAACAACGTATGCTGACATATATATCTCCATTCCATCCATTGTCTCAACCGTCAGCCGGACAATGTCACATCGCTGTAATTTGGCTGAGGTTTCTCCAAACGTTTTAATGAGTAACGTATCATTACCAGACACTGGAAGGCGAAGGACTCTTTGCTGGTTTCCGGTGATATAACTTCTTTGACTACAACTGTCAAATATGATTCTTGCATTTACGCTAGCTTGATCACAACCAGGTTTGCTGACCTTGGCTCTTGCCGTTTGTAATAGAATACTGTTCTTCGAATGGATTAACATGCTGATAGTCTGGTTATTTCCATAAGCAGGAGTTTGCTGAGAGGTATCATTTGAATTGTTCCCTGTGTTCCTTTTGAAGATTCTTGGTTTTTCACTTGATCTGAATTGGTTGGAGATTCACATATTGATACGTGGTGATTCAAATGACAACGAGGGCATCCTTTTTTGGGTTTCCTACAGTTTGCTGCCAAGTGTCCTGTCCGTAGACATACAAAACACTTTCCCTTTTTCCGCAGAATTTGTTTTCTTGCAGAGATTTGGGTAACAATAGCACAGCTAGCTGATGTATGATTTCCCTTGCAGTAGGTGCACCATGGACCCTGTTGATCATCATTGTTGGTGTCAGTGAGCAGTGAATGCTATGTAGAATTATGCCATGATTCCCTCTGTATCGATTGTCCCTGTTACATGGTGAGGAACCAGGAATATGTTGACATTTTTCACGGAGTTGTAATTCTTTATGGAATGCTTCTAAAATAGGCTCTAATTGCTAGTCATTCGATGTCAATTCTCTTGTCATGGCAATACGCATTTCCTCAGGAATCTTTGCCATTATAACTGGGGATAAAAAGCTACCATAGGTCTCAGAGTTAATACCAATGTTCTTCAGGCTTCGAACATTTGATTCAGTCTTGTCATGAATAGCACGCAATTTCTTCGTTTCATCAATTGTGGTTGCAGCAGGTAATTTAAGCAAGGACTCAACATGTGCAGAAATAAGAACTTGTTTGTTCCCATATCTGTCCTTCAAGAGCTCAACTGCTTCCTCATAATTTTCACTGGAGAGGGAAAACCCACTTATTGTCTCAGCAGCCTGCCCATGTACAAGAGATTTTAGATAATTGAACAGGTCCACAGAGTTCAGACTTTCAATAACACGCACAGCTGATTGAAATGAGTCCCAAAAGGGTGTCCACTCGACAGGATTCCCACCAAATTTCTTTAGTTCTAACTTAGGTAATCTTGCATGAACAATGTTTGGCTTTCCATACAATGCACTCAGGGGGGTTGAGGAGCCAGATGAGGGGTTTTCATTATTTGAGCTTCCCATAACAGCAGATGCTTCATAACTTGCAATAGTGGATTTAACATCAGAAATACAATCATAAACAGCACTTACGAATTCACAACTGGTTTCGACTTCTTGATCAATTGCTTTTTCCTCTTCGAGTAATTCTGCGATTTCAGTATCCATATTTCTTAGCTGCGATAATTTATCCTTTGATTCAGATTCCAAAGATTTGAGCTTTTTTAACAACCCCACATTTCCTCCTTCGACCTTTTTGAGTGTTTCTCTAGCCATAGACATAATTTTCTTTGCATGACTTCGATGTCCAGCTCGAATTCTCACTTTTTTACTTACATCCGCCATGTTTGATTCACAAATTATCAATGATAAAACACGAATTTTAGACCTCAATAGACTTCAATTCCCGGGAGTCGGCACCAAAATGTTTGAATGACTATATTTCCTTGACAAAATCCCTCAAATGATTTAGAATTCCCTGGTAATTCTTCCCTTTTTGAACGATTTATTTCCGACATATAAAATTACAAAACCAAACACATTTACGACTTCAATCCGAATACATTTTTGCGGGAAAACGCGCGAGATAAACACACGTGCGTCAAACATGTACAAAAAGTACATAAATGTCCTTTTGAGTTCCTACGTATCCAAATGTCTCTAACAGTGTATGCAGAGCGGCTGAAGATTACGAGCGCACCGCCTGCGAGAAATAGAGTTGTTCTGACCCGACTAAGGGTTGTTTAATTAACGTTCACGCAATCCCCACGGCAACCTCGCAAGCCTGGCTTTTCTACATACGCGGCCAGGGTCGTAACTAGAGCGATCATTGGAGGGGGGGGGGGTGAATATTCATACATTAATTCAGTTCTGCCCGGCGGACTTCTATTGTAAGCTATTGCAATTACAAAAGAAATCCGTAGGGCAGAATTGGATATATGAATATTCACCCCCCCCAGTTATCGTATCACTGTATGCGGCCCACACTGCGGGGGAAACCCTGGTTCAAGCTTGGCATGCGACAGCACAAAATCACCGAAAATATGGTGGATTTTTAATTAGCGCTTAGTTCATCTCTAAGGGAGTGGTGGTAATATGCCATATCTGCTATTTTTATGTCCGCTGACCGGTAGGACGTCAGCAGCCACATTGATATCGTGGAGATATTCTGTGTGACTTTGTCCACCAAAATTCATCGAAGCTACCCGACTGGGCGACACCATGATAAGAAGATGTTCCGTTTTGCACACGAGTATGGCCACGACATCGAATGTTATAGCTTTTAATTTTTCGATATGATTTTTCGTTATGTTGTCTTTGGCGCTGTTCCTTTTCGAAACTCGCTGAATTTTGCTTTGTAAAACGACCCTTTTTGTGTGGCTTCGTTTAGGCTCTTCTAACGTCCGGGATCGTCGGGTCGTTTGGAGAGACAGCTCTTTACAAATACTCACAGAACACACAAATATATTTATAACTCTTTATTCGTGCCTCGGTGCTTGCGATGTGCTCTTGATCCCGTGCTCCTGTATCAACTAACTGTTTTGTGCTTAATCATACTGTGCTATATCGCTACATGATATCCCTTTTCAATAACCCAGTGTGCATTGTTCATTGTGCATATTACGTGTATCATGTTTCCTATATTACATATCTCCCTCCTTTAGGTGAAAAACCTCCTGGTTTTCGTGGTAAACTAAATGAATATAACGATTGTTTTCTCTTAAAATTAATCATTGGAGTCAGTTTGTTCCCACGGGTGTGACGTAGCTTTCTTCTTAAGTCCAGGTAGTTGTACTCATGTGTCACATCAGTCACTGTTCTGCTCATTGGTTGATCTCTCAGGCAGCTGCATGTCTTTCGGGATGACGTCATCGTCTCTTGCGAGGCCTTTTTCGCTCACCAAATGTCTTTTGTTGCAAGGCCAGGCAACTACTCAATTATTCGCAATGGCACTCGAATTTTGACATGAACCAAAGAAGAACTTAGTCGTGTAATGGAACAGACAACAACAAAACATACAGAAAACCATAAATAACATGCATGTACATCACATAGAAAAGCCTATTTATGTATTGTGTGTGCATGTAGGACATTAGGTACAAAGTACAAACAAGACTGACCCCATCGTGCTTCAAAACCCAATTATAACGTGCCCAGAGGGAAGGAGTTGATCTATTGAACTTAATCATTCGCTGGGGAAAACGGCAAACAGCAACATGAGAGATCAGGTATAGGACAAGGCGGTGGTGTGTCCGTGGGAGGTGCATGGAACCTGCAATTCACGAGTGTCGAAGTTGATAAAAGCTTGATGGTGGGTTAAGAAGTCTGCACCGATTATTGCATCGTAAGCCAATTTATCGACAATGTAGGCATAATAAGGGTACTTGTATTTACCAACTTGAAATGGTACCAACGCTAAACCAGTAATTGGAACACTTTCACCGGTAGCTGTTCGAATAGACTGCGGCATTAATGAACTAGGCGGATGTTTCGTAAGGCTAGGCAGTCGTTCAAATAATGCGGAGCTTAGAGCGGTAATAACAGCGCCGGTATCGCATAAAAATGACACCGAAAGATCACAAACTTTTCCAGATACAAAAGGGCAATTATTACGTATCTCAAAAGGGACGGCGATAGAGCATGCAACAGGGAATTCAGGAACAGGCTTGTCAGTATAATTGTCACTTCTGTTAGAAACGGGAAATACTAGTCCTTCCAGATCCGGATTAAAAATAATGTCGCGATCTTGTTTTTTATTTCCTTTGTCTTCATATGGGGATAAGTCTACTAGGTCATCGAAAACTGGTACATCTATGGTACGATGCTCAGAAAAAAATGATTGTCTAACATCAATATCAACATGCTGTGGTACATTTACATACTGTGACTCGGTCACTTTCGAATTTTCTGCATTACCTTTCGCCAATGTATCACACTCTAGTATCGATTGGCTAGCTTGAAGATTTTCCTTGCATAAAACACTATCAGTTTCGTCTGCGTATAAACTAAAATCAATATCCCCAAGATCAGGGTGTATTGTTTCTATATTTTTCTTATGTACTGTGGGGCTTGGGGTTTCGGCATGTTTATTTTCTTCTATTCCCAAATTAACTAAAGTTGCAACCGGAATATCATTAGTTTCACGAGAAAAGTTATTATCATCATGGTGATCCGTTACGAGACATTTAATTTCATTAATCTTTTCTAAATACTTCGCCTCCCTATCGTCCCGGTATAGAGAAGCCGCAATTAGTTTCCCGCCTGCTGGCAAAATGGGTTGCCGGCTCTTTGTTGGGCGGCGAATGGCGGTGCATCAGGGCGTAAATTTACACTGGGCGGCTGCCTAGGGGGAAATCGGCGTGGCATGGAAGGGAATTGTTCCTCCGCACTTCTACAGTTGCGCGCAATGTGGCCCACCTTGTTGCATTTATTACATATGGGTATCCCATCTGTAGTGCGACGGTTGCGTGACGAAGGTACGCCTGTATTTGATGGCCTATTTGCGTGTGCTGAAAACCGTGTTTGACGCCGTACTTCATCCTGAACTAGTTTGGCTATGTCATTTGCATTATATAGCGGACCTACGTCTGATGCGTGTTGCCTGTGTTGTTGCTGGTAATGATTCATGTTGCCTATGTTGTTGAAATAATCCTGTCGACCAGGAGTGGTTTGCCTTGGGTACATGCTATATGCGGCCACATCAGGTGTTGTCTTATTTTGCTGGGCAATGGCTAGGGCTTCTAAGCTTTTCGCAACTGACTGGAGTTGTACTTCCAGCTTTTGCTGAGCAACATTTGGAGTGTTGATATACACAGCCTCCTTTAGATTGGCCAAGTTTTCAGCTTCTGCTAAACTTTTTGGCTGTCCTAAAATTACATGGCTTTTATAGTTGGGATGTAGACCTTGGATGAAGTGGTGCATCGCTTCCCCGTCGGTTAGATCTAAGCGTTTACATAAGCGCCTTATGTCGGAAGCATAATCAGCTAAAGCCTCTGTGTCGGCTTGTTTTCGAGCGGCTAATTGCTGTCGCCAAAGCCAGACGGATGCAGGATTGCTAAATTGGTCCTTTAGAGCTTTTACTAGATCCTGGTACGACTTAAACATTTCGGGCAAACTGGAGTACCACGAACTTGCATTGCCCTGGAGATAAAGCGGTATGGCTCGTAACTTTTGTTCATCGTTCCACCCACAGAACGTTGAAAATCGCTCAAAGTGGCTCACAAATGACAATATATCATCTGTGGTTCTCCCGCAAAAGGGTTTCGGATGCAATGCTGCTCCTACTTGCAGGGAATTTTGCGAAATTAAGGTTGCCAGTTGGGCTTGTTGCTGCTGCTGTAATTTGACAAGGTTGGTGTGGTGTCGAATGCCTAAGTCATTTGTTTCAGTTAGTGTTCGTTGGTTAGCCTCAGTTGACCTTACCGATTTCTCAATGGCCGTTAGCAAGTCGGATAACTTTTCCGCCACCTCGGGCGAAGTCATGTCTGACTGATTGACCGAATTCCCCAACGAACAATTAAACTCAAGCTCGACAGCAACACGACTGCGACTACGGGTGATGGGTCGGTCCGGATGAGACACAATGAAAAATATTTTTATAATTTTGGTTTTAAAAAGCGCAATCGGTTTGTCTACAACTAGACGCAATACGAAACACAACAAAACACATGAACGCACGACATAAACGTTTAAATACAACACATAAACACTGTTTTAGCAACGAATTGGAAACATATGAGAGGCAGAAAGTTTGGACTGACAGGACACGTGGTTCTTTGTCTTTTCAAGCAAACACGCGAATAAAAAACGAGCAAATTGTCGTACCTCTGCCAAAGAATAATTTGCGTCGAACGCGTCGAGTGCGCCACTTGCCACGGCGGTTGGTTGTCTTGTCAGTGGATCGCCAGCGCTTCGATTCCGACCACTTCCCTCTGTTTGCTTCAGGCTTCACCAGATTATAGGCGCATCCGCCCGCAATCTCCACCAATGTAAAACGACCCTTTTTGTGTGGCTTCGTTTAGGCTCTTCTAACGTCCGGGATCGTCGGGTCGTTTGGGGAGACAGCTCTTTACAAATACTCAAAGAACACACAAATATATTTATAACTCTTTTTCGTGCCTCGGTGCTTGCGATGTGCTCTTCCCGTGCTCCTGTTTCAACTAACTGTTTTGTGCTTAATCATACTGTGCTATATCGCTACATGATATCCCTTTTCAATAACCCATTGTGCATTGTTCATTGTGCATATTACGTGTATCATGTTTCCTATATTACAGCTTATAGTTGCTGCTTTTGTATCTGGCACACGTATTGTAGAACTTTCAAGCGCCTAAGCGGTTTTTGAT